CGATTGATTGAGATAGCTGCTGGACTTATTGCCTGGCCCGTAAGGTGCTAGGCATTTTAAGACTGAACTTATCTAGAAGATGGTAGGGAATATCGCCCTTTGATATCAATTGCCCTCGCATTGCGGTGTTGTAGAATGTACTTTTACGGGTATAAAAAATTCATTGTGTTTTGATCTCGTCGAGAGTGCAGGGCAAGATAATAGGCGTTAGGAACAATAAATAATTAATCAATGCATAGAGTAACCTGTTAGGTAAAAATCACTGTATGTGAGTTTTTGTGTGCACGTGAACTATTTTTCATGTCATTAATAAATTTACAATTAACTGAATCATCTGTTTCCTTCAGAGTCCCTTTTGTTTTTATCAAAACAGACTACCACCATTGTTAACACAACTTTCACACGACACTCAGCAACACAACAGAGCGAAAGCCGAGGCTCTCGCTGCCCAAGATCGCGCAAACTCTGATCGCTGAAGTCAAAACTACTCAAGTTAGGAATGAGTAAATGTTCGTTTAATCAGGGTAATTTATCAACTGTGCTGTTATAATGGGTTATTTGAGGAAATGATTGTGGAGTTTAGTTCAACAGAATTTGACTGAGGAATTTACACGCTATTATTATATCGCTCTGATAATTTCAGTATGTGCCATGGAAATTCTTTACAATTACTTTTTTTACATATTTGGAAAGCTGGCTTACATTTTCGAGAACTTGATAGCTTAAATTTAGGGTTCTGGAGTAAAAATTCTAGTCGAAATCAGAAAGATGGTCGACTAGCTGTTGTGAATCAACAAAAACTGAACATGGCCTAAGAGGAAAGTAAAACCACGAATGCAGGCACTTGATTACAAAAAATAAGGCACCTTATCAGCAATCGTTAAAAGAAATGCTTGTATAATACAAATTGATTAAAAACGCAGAACTAAATTCATAACAATTCCTATACATTAACCGTGTATGGATGTTGTGGCAAAACGGGAAGAGAAATAAATCGAGTGATGGTTTTCCCCAGTTTATTTCCAATTCTTGGGTGAAATACACATAAGGATTATAAATAGGTAGAGGCATGGGAACAGGTCCTTAGCTAATAATAATTTTAGTTAAGCAACATGGCAAACAAATTAAAATATGCTGACTGTAATGATTTTTAGTTCTAGAAATTTTGAAGCAGATGTTCTGGCAACATCGACCAAAGTATTGGAAGGTCTTGTTTTACGGTTTGGCCATTCGTTGATCCTTACTGAAGACAGCCGCTTGTGTTCTTGCTCTTGGTAAGCGTCTAGGTTCTATAATTTGTAATAGAATAACTGTGAGAATATGTTCAGAATATTGTGTACTTATCTAGTTATTAGTGTTTAATAAATTTAATGAAATGCGTGTTTATTTGTAGGAGAACTTCCCTCTTCTGCTCTGTTCTGCTGTTCTACTTTAATAAAACTTTGAACTTGGACCAAGCCTAATGACCCAAACACCCAATTGGAAGTTACCGCCAATGAATCAATAAACCCGTCCGTTTGAACCTGAACAAATGGAAACATTACACTGACTTTGGAACATTAGTAACAACACTATATCAACATATGCTGATTTGTATCGGATGCATGAGTATGGGCTGATAAAATTTCTATTGTTCTTGAAACATCGCGAGGAAATTTCCTGTAGTTGATCGTTGTCTAAATTCGAAGAGTTACAAACTACTAGCAAGAGCGACGTCACATACAATACCTGTTTTCAGTGGCAGGTTTGAGACTATGGAATTGCGTCGCACTTTTCCTCGATACATCCACTGGGAGGCCGCTATCAAGGGTGATGGATGGACAAGATCTACTGGGAGGCCACTATCAAAGGTGATGGACCACATCCACTGGGAGGCCGCTATCAAGGGTGATGGACAAGATCCACTGGGAGGCCGCTATCAAGGGTGATGGACAAGATCCACTGGGAGGCCACTATCAAAGGTGATGGACCACATCCACTGGGATGCAGCTATCAAGGGTGATGGACAAGATCCACTGGGAGGCCGCTAACAAGGGTGATGGACCACATCCACTGGGATGCAGCTATCAAGGGTGATGGACAAGATCCACTGGGAGGCCGCTATCAAGGGTGATGGACCACATCCACTGGGAGGCAGCTATCAAGGATGATGTACAACAGCCACCGGGAGGCCCTTTCAAGGGTGACGGGCAACAATTTTTGTGAGAATTGTAATCCTAAAGCTAAATGCGGAAGTGGAACAGCCTGGTATTGTATTTAAAGTTACATGATATTTTNCATGGGTATACTTGTATACTTCAATGAGGTCACCACGCAGACATTGGTAACAGAGGCTTGGAAGCTTCATAATCTTTTATCTTTCTTCATAAGACTTGCCTTTTAATCCCGGAATTATACTTGTTGCACGTCTTTGAACACTCTCAACTAAATTTTTGTCCTTTTCTAGTTTTGGTGACCACACGGCATTTCCAAACTCTAGGTTCGGACGCACGACTGAGACAAACAACAGTTTCATCGGTACAGCCTCTATATGTACTCGTAAGAGCGTCTGATCAGTAATAAGAGCGTCTGATTACTCGTACTCGTAAGTAGATACTTCGTAGAAACGTCTGATCAGTCGTTTATTGACTTTATTAACTTGAGCTTCAATATGCTTGGAAAATTTCAACTCATAGTCGACATTAATTCCTAAATCTTTTTCCATTGTTGACTTCGACATCATCACTCTGTCGTTGCAACCGTGTCTTCTCATACTGTAATCTTGCTGTTCGTTTTTCCTGCCAAGGTGGATTACTTTCATTTGTCAGCGTTGAAACGCAGCTGCCACTTATCAGCACAAAGAACCAACCTGTCAATATCACCTTGCAGCTGTACTTTTTGCGACGTATTCTTCACTGTCTTATACACTTTTGTATCGCCAGCATACATCGAGCACACGCTAGTCACATCCTCTGGCAGATCGTTTATATAATCGCAACGAATAAAACAGGCCCGAGAACGCTTCCTTGTGGCACGCCGCTGTGCACTGAACTGCGTTGTCGTCTCCCTACTAGAAAATCTCATCCATTTGAGTACATTACTCTCAATTCCCAAAAACTTCAATTTACGCTCGTGTGGGACACTGTCTAATGCCTTGGCAAAATCGAGGTACAGTGCATCTACTGGCTCTCTTTCGTCCAGCAGGCGGGTCCATTCATTCAGAGTAGGCAAGAGGTTAGTGGTGCAGGATCTACAGGCAATAAAGCCATGACAGTCTGATAGGAGATTATTAGCAGTCAAATGATCGATCAATCGATCCCTCTGCTGGGGTCACCCAGGTTCGTCCAGCCGTACTTATAGTACTTTAACGTGGACCCCAACAAAGGCTTGCAATGAAAGACACTTCAGAAACCACTCTCTTGAACATGTAGTTCCAAGACTCTCCTAAAGAAAAAAGAACAAGGAATAAATAACTGAACTAACATATAAACGAACAAAAGATAAAGTATGAACAAACCTTCTCATGAATAAACTAATTAACTTTACAGAATATAACAGAATAAAGAACATCTCGTAATAACCACAAAATGTAAAACACAGGAACAAGCAAATAAATAACCAAGTTATAACACACCTTGACACTGTGGGTTCAAATGCGGGACTGACTAGGACGGACTATAACCTACAAATCTAACTTCCGCATTTCTAAACTGAAAACTAAAACTACAAAAATACAAAATTATAAAATACTAAATTCTAATTCCCTAACACCTCACCACAGATTCCATTACCTTGCAAACGACACTAGTCAAACTGACAGGGCGAAAGTTGCCTGGGCAGTTTTTGTCACTTTTTTTTTAACAATGCATGGTGACAACAGCTGCCCGGGCAACTTGCGTTGCGTTTTTTTTCATTTTAATGGAAAATTGAATGACTTGAAATTTTTTAAATCTCCTCCCGCACCGCATTGCTAATAATTACTTATGCTCTGAATTTTATACAAATCGGTTTAGTATTAAGGGAGTTATGAGCTGTTCGGTTACGCAAAAGTTGCGATATGCGTTAAACTCCGCTGGCGAGCTCGACGGTGAGTTCGGAGAAATGTGGACTAGGTGAGCGATACTATACCTTAGGCATCTACTTCTCTATGTTTATCAACAACAAGAACATTGGACGGTAGCTGCAGGAGTTGGGCTCACGAAAATTAACGAAGGCTCACGCCACTTAAATCAGAGTTAGTTATATGAGAAAAAATTATATAGTGTGTTAAGCGTGGTGGAATTATGTCTAGTTTTACACGAGAATCTAAATTATTAAAAAAATATCCTCGTATTAAAATCATGCTAGTGCAAAAATCTGTCAGAGTATACAATGCAGGACAACATTTATCATAGGGAATTGAAAGTAGGGATCATGGATTGGATTTCATCTATTTATTGAATCTTATTAGGAATCCCATTGACCTAAAGCAATGTGACTTGAGTTAGATTAAAGAATATTTAAACTTAAAATCTGTTTTTTATGAGTTAACACAATAAAAAAGTAGATAATATGACCAGTTAAATGCATTAAGTTGGAAAGGTAATGGAAGATAATGAAACCAACAAGCCACGCACAAACAGGTAATAAACGTCTATGTGACAGAAACTGACTCTGAGATTATGTCAACTGTCCGGTGTCAACTCACTTGACCTGATAGAGATTGAGGACGAGTCAACATCTGATAGACACGTGATAGATCACGCGATCAAGACCTTAGTAGTGGGCGGAAGTAAAGCTAATAAAAGTTCTAGCAAACCTTAAGCAGAACCCCCCAGTAGCTGATAAGCACTCTGCGATGTAGCGTGTAGCTTGAGTTCTCCGACCTTACGGTCGATGCCGTAGCTTATTCCTCTGCATCGCAACTCTGTATTACCACCCCGTATACAAGATACGTTATCTGGACTGATGTGGCTTACTTATCCCTCACTACCTTAGTCAACGAAGAACCCGATCCTGAGGTAGAGCTTAATATAATGAGTTCAAAATCATAGGTTGTAGTTAATTTACAACCTGTGACACAACAGACAAGATACATACTTATTATAGATGGTATGAATGGCTGATGGCGAAACGAGAAAAAAAATAACATGTAGCTCTAATATACAATGCAAGGCCTTTCCACTTCCGTGTTTAACTCTAGGACTACACTTCTCGCAAAAATTGTTGTCCATCACCCTTGATAGCGGTTTCCCGGTGGATGTTGTCCATCCATCACCCTTGAAAGGAGCCTTCCAGTGGATGTGGTCCATCAGCCTTGATAGCGGCCTCCCAGTGGATGTAGTCAATCAGCCTTTCCACCCAGTGGATGTGTCGAGGAAACGTGTTATACGCAGTTCCATAGTCTCAAATCTGCCACTGAAAACAGGTATTGTTTGTGACGGCGCTCATGCAAATAGTTTGTAACTCTTCGAATTTAGACAACGATCAACTACAGGAAATTTCCTCGCCACATTTCAAGAACAATAGAAATTTTATCAGCCCATAATCGTGCATCTGATCTAAATCTGCAATGTTTATAGTGTTGTTACTAATGTTCCAAAGTCAGCATATTTTAATTTGCTGACAAAATGCATTATTTTTTGTAAGCAAGTGGTATTAGAGCACGCATTCATGGTATTAGCTTTCTATTAGGCCATGTTCAGTTGTTGCTTATTCACCACAGTCGACCACCTTTCTGATTTTCACTGTAATTTTTACAACTAGTAGCGATTTCGACCCCCATCTCGCTGCTTAATGTATTTAAACACTCGGCTATCCCGAGCTGTTCATATGGAGTCTAAGGAAGGTCTCACAATCTATCCGTTCCAAAGAGCTAAAATAGTTATCTAGTAAATCTATACAAATATAGGAATTGAATTACTTTACAAAAAACTTTCTCAGTATTTTCTGCTAGAATAAAAAACTATTTGAATATTGAAGAACGCGCTCATAATTCATATGTGGTTTTTCGTTATTAATTTATCCTAATTATTTATTCAGTGTTTTCTTACCGGGGTGAAGAGGTAATTCACCATAATTTCGTGGAACACTCGCTTCTTTTCAAAAGTCTGCAAAATCTTCTCAGACTTTGGAAGAAGACTATAATTTCTCTTCTTTCTCCTTCGAACTGCGTTGTGCATATGAAAACAAGGGAAAAACTCAAACTCCCGAGTATGAGACAACTGCACCTCGATGTGTTCGCATGTGATGTTGCTCACGAAGTTCGATGCCTGAGGGCAAAAACAACCATGATATTTTTGAGAGCGAAGAATGTAAATCAATATAGCTTTTGAGGCACGGAATTGTTCAGAATATCTTATCGCAAAGCACGCAGGCATTCAATAATTGCAGGAACGTGAACCAATTTACTTATATTGGGGTTAATACTGACATTACAGAAAAAGCCGCGAATAGGTAATACAATTGAAAAATTATGGTAATGTACGTATGGAAAACATGAATGATCTCGCTGTCTGAATAGACTTTGGTATATCAGTAGATGCCATTGATCACGAATAAACTTTGAAGCTAATGAAGAAACACCAATGGATCAAGCTGTAATAAAAGAATCCAACCTGATCAATGTGCAGCACTGGATGGAAGGACTGCGAGTTCTCCCAAATGCGTCTGGGCAGCGCGTGTGGTAGGAGCAGCAGACTCTTCAGTCGGCTTATCGAATCAGGCTCAGCTATCCAGGCTTCAGTCGCAGTCAGAAAAACTGACACCACAGCCCACAAATGCTGTGAAAATAATACATATTCTCCAGATTTTCGCAAAAATACATGTAAATTTCATTCTGATCCATGATATTCAAGGTCAAAATCGAAAAATCGATTTTTGCCAGGGAGGATGTGCCGTAGATTTGAGTCAATAAAATTGGTTTTATAGTCATATATTGGTTCGGAAGAGATACACAAGTTTTAACTTGCCTTCATAAATTGGATTTGCATGCCAGTATTACAATTAAAATGAGCATTAAAATTATAAAATGATGCTTTCAAATCAACTAACCATGAACTTTTCACACGACGAAGATAACATTGTGAACGGTGATGATCAGCATTTAAACTCAAACAAGTCTGTCGAATTCTTCGCTCAATTTGTGTGAGCTTCCTGTAAAAATGAAGAAACAGTAAAAATATAATAACTACCATATGCACTCATTAATCTGACGATGCTGATAGAGCATGACCGCAAGAAATAACGTCCTATTTTTCATTTAGGCGCCATGAAAAAATTGCATGACGTCAGCTAGATCATTAGGACGTAAAGGCTATGATCCGCGCGAGTTTGTTATATTATCTTGATACGAGTGATGTTTTCAGCCAACCCCTCTCCTTAATGCCATTAAGGAGAGCATTTATTTCTAATTTATTCACTGGCATCCAGCATTGGAGCTGACATGACACGAGAAGATCAGTGCCTGAAGCTGCTGCATGGAGCTATGGCACGCTCGCAATATCACTCTTAAGAAAAAATTCTAGAAATGTTTAATATTTATAATTTTATTCTCAAAAACTCGAGCGTATCACATGAGAACAAGAACCAACACCAGGGGCCACGGGTATAAACTAAAAAAAAACTTCGTTGTGACACATCCATGCCACAGCAATTCTTGTCGCTTCGAGCCATCGACATGTGGAACAGCCTCCATGATGGCATCGTTGATGCTCCGAGTATGAACATCTTCAAGAACAGACCAGACGAAGCTATGCAGGATCAATCTTAAAATGCCTAGCAAATTACGGACCAGGCAATAAGTCCAGCATCTATCTCAATCAATCGTCAGTTATGGAAAGATCGGGTTCCAAAGGCCGGATCCCTTGTGAATCAAGTCACGTAAAGTTCAAGAATCGGCAATAGGCCATGGGCCTATTTCTTCAACGCCGACACTTCTATTCTATGAGCGAGGACGGTCTGGTACTCACCTCACTGGTAGGCACTGTGCTGGAATATGCTCGATGATTTGAGACTAAGTAACGGCGATGACGAAGGAGGAAAATTTTATTGGTAGAGATTAGAATGGCTGTAAGCCAGGAACTGGAAAATAATGTATGACCTTCTAACAAAATATACAGTACAAGTGTGAATAAAATCATCGCGACTGTTTTCCGTGACAAACTTCTAGACTTTTAACAAAAACTGGTATGTGAAACAGCAAAAAAATGACAGGTAAGTCGACATTGAGAGAATTACGTGTCCTGAATGTTTTTTCTTGGTGAAAACAAATTGAAAGTGTAAGGAAGTTGTTATGACAAATGCACTAGGTTGCTAGCTCTAACTCCCTTCCTCGTCGGAAGTCTCCCTCTGATCTATGTCTTACGTGCATGTACCTACGGATTGCTGCTACTGTAATGCTGTAATTTATGGCAGTGCGTGATCTGTTACCTATAGATTTGTTATAGCTTACGTTGAGAACCAACAGAATAGTTTACAGATAACGATGCTTAATCGGATCGTATGCAATACCGGGCAATGAATGTTGTTTTCCGAAGATGCTAAAATTTTGGCAGTATTCTAATTGAAAACATTCCCGAGACCAGCTCCAAAATCAATTCACCATTTAAGAACTCCTGTACCAAAAATTTGAGCGCCTAAACTTACGAAGTAGACATTCAAACAAAGTTTACTAAATGACGGTGACTGTGCTGTAAACCTTCCCAGAGAACATTTCATGGGCTAACAGTGCAAGGTTCTCTTGAAAATTATAAAGGAATTCCTTGACTTTGGATTCCAATGCACCAGAGGTAAAAGCAACAAATAATTTTGTTGCCGGGATGTCACATTTTTCGGCATGAATGAGCCGCAATGTGGATAGGGATGAAGTGTTGAATGAAATGATTTTTTAGTTCAAAACTTCTTCTTGTAGATCCTGCTGATGTAAAGTAGAAATTGTGTAATAACTTTGAATTACAAAAATGAAACTCATCGATTCTTTTTAGCATAATGATTCAATTTATTGACAAGAGCTAATGATTAAACGACCGCAGTTAAAAACACATAAATACCTAAACATCGATGCATCGTTAATATCCTCGAATCTCAGATATTGATGGACTTAGTAGTAAAAAGAGGCTAATCCGACAATCATCGCTGAGAACCAGTTTTTCTTGATCGTTTTTCACGCCACTTTTTCGTTGCCACTAGCGGTATGTTCCTCGGCTGAGCTCTGACTGCAATATTCAAGCATTTACTCGCTGGCCTTGGAGCTGCTCGCGCTCGTTGTTCGACATTAAGCAAACTTGCAAGGAGGAAAATATTCCGAGTTTGGAAGTTTGTCAGTGCACGGTGTTTTCATTGTACGTTCGCTGCATATGAAAGCAGCTTTTGATACTGGGTTGAATTATAATCTCTACCACTACGAGCAAAGTTGCTGTAAAATTTACTGGGTCAGGTGTAAAGAATTAATCATATACTTCGTGTCAACGATTTATTATAGTTCTTATTACTAGCAATAATGTCACTAGATTGCTTGGATCGCAGATTAACTAGAAACTCCAAGAAAACTCCAAAAAATTTCAGCATATCTATATTGAAAACGTTTCGGAGACCAGCTCAACGTTAGTTCGATAAATCTAGAACACAAATAGTCAGAAAATTAATAAAGTTTGGAGTCAAAAGAAAATACACAGAAGTTAGAAACCTGAATTTGCTAACAAAGGGCAGAATAATAAAGTAAATACCTATCTATTCACAATTTCTAATGGATAAGAACTATAGGCTGCATTTAAACTAGGAATCTCTTTAAAAATATACAATGATTCCAAAATACGTACGCAGATCGGAAGCATCAGAACTATGAGCTAAAACCTTAAAGTCAGTGTCGGACACTGGAACGTTGCACTGTTCGGCGTGAGTGCGCACAGCCGAATGAGGAGGGCGCGATAGTAACTGCCCAGTCCTATAACTCCTCCCTCTATGCTCAGCGACCCTAGTGTAAAGGTTGCTTTCCGTCATTCCAACGTACGTAGATGCACACCGTACACAACTAAATTTATAAACTATGGACGATCGCATGTGAGCTTGATTTTTGTCTGCCTATTTTTAAGTTGAAATTTTATAATTTTTTAGCCTTTGAAAGACTAGCTCTCAGCATAAAGAACGTTCCTACTCCTAACCGCCCAGAGTTTCTTGGGAACTTTCAGAACTTAGCCTATCGTCATTTTTACGGCTTTAAGTCGTATAAAATTTTTTCTGTATTTCAGCCCAGTGACACGTTTTCATTGAAAAACTAGGCCAAAAATAAAGACTTGATCATTTGTAAACCTGACAATGACAGGAGCGTGGTTTTGGTTGATCGTAGTCGATGTGACAACAGCCTTACTGCACTCATCACTGATCCTTCTGAATTTGCCGAAATTACTAATCCAATCTCTAAAACTATTTTGAAAATTGAAAACAAAATCAATAGCTTCCTGCGAAAACTCAAGGATTTGTCTGCCTTCTCAGCTGAAACTTACTCTAAACTTTACACCTCCGGTTCATGCCCTGGGATTTTATTTGGCTTTCCCAAAATTCATAAGTCTCATTTTGCCTCTAAGTTTCCATTCCGACCAATTTTTTCCGCATATAATACCCCTAGTGTTAAACTGGCTCTAAGTTTTTAGTTCCTCTCTTAAACTGTCTACAACAAACCAGTATACAGTAGACAATTCTTATACTTTTGTTGACCGCTTGAAGGATTTTACTGACGTTCAGGACTTATAACAATGGCCTTTATTGACGTGAAAAATTTATTTACAAATATACCGCTTTTTGAAGCCATAAAGTTCTGTCTAAATACTCTGTTTAAAGATATTCATGATACGGTTTTTGGTTTGAACCGCAATTTTTTTAACTCCATGTTGGAATTAGCAGTTCTAAATTCAATTTTCATATTTGCTGGTAAAATTTTACAAACAAATTGACGGTTTGGGCATAGGTTTTCTTCTCGGCCCAACCTTTGCGAATATTTTTATGTGTTTTCACAAGGCTTCATGGCTGACCAATTGTCCTTCTGATTTTAAATCAGTTTTTTGTTACAGATACGTCGATGACACCTTTCTTATCTTCAAGCATCCCTCTCATGTAAAAATTTTCATTGATTACCTAAACTTGTAACATAATTCTTTTAAATTTACCATGGAACTTGAATCGAACAATAGTTTGTCCTTGCTAGACTGTAATATTACTAAATCTAATGGCCGTTTTCAAAACACCTGTTTTCAGAAAATCAACCCTCACCGGCCTAAGCAGCAGTTCTTTTAGTTTTGATTCTTTTAGATTCAAGATAAACGCGCTTCAAACACTATTTCACCGCGGCTTTCGTATTTGCTCGACTTCCCATGCCATGCATTCTGAATTTGAATTTATGCGCAATATCTTCTCGCTTAATGGATTTCCTTCTGGCTTGGTGTTTACCCAGATTAAGAAATTTATGTCTAAGCGATGCAGTGGAGTTGTTACAGAGCCTGATAGTAGAAACTTTGTTTACTGTTCTCTTCCATACTTCGGCCATGAGTCTGGAGTTATGTCAAAAGAATTAGAAGATTTGTTTATGAAATACTTTCCTGACATTAATCTTCGTATCTTACTGGTGAATAATTTCAAAATTGGTTCGTTTTTAGGTACAAAGATATATTCCCTTCTCACATGCGATCGTCTCTAGTTTATAAATTTTGTTGTGCACGGTGTGCATCAGCGTACGTTGGAATGACAGCACGCAACATTAACACTAGGGTCGCTGAGCATAGAGGGAGGAGTTATAGGACAGTGGAACGTAACACCCACGATAATTCATTGATTATACTGCATGTCAAATAATCTCTATTTGAAATTTTTTTGTACACTCATGATCAACGTTGTCAACTCAAAGAGGTTGGTTATTTTCAAGGTGAGGTCGTAAAATGCTCCAAACATAATTATTAATAATTTCATTGCAGTTACGGGGAAAAGATGGCCTTCGTATCCCGGGTGTTTCGGGACCAAAAGGACACGGCGCTTGACCGCGCAGTGTTTTGGACCGAGTATGCGGCTCGCTTTCGGGGAGTGCCGCTTCTCAAGTCCCCAGCGCGACACCTGTCCTGGATAGAGTTTCTCAGCCTTGATTTTATTCTGCTAGCACTTGTTCTATGTTACTGTGCATTGAATGTGTTTCTCAAGGCTATCCGGGCTCTGAGAACCAAATGTGTGGGAGGCAAAAACGAAAAGG